TGTAAAAAAAAAGAAAAATATTTTTTAATTAATTAAAAAATTATTATTTAAAAAAATTTCATCATATATCTTCTCTATCGCATAATGTTTAAACTGCATGTTGTTCATCGTAACCTATATATGTGGAGCTAAAGAAGCTTCACAGTACCATCTTGGATTGTTAGATATGTTTATGTATGGGTTGACCTCATCGATATAATTTCTTTGAATGTCTAAGAGTGCTATTAATAATATTAAAAAAGATTATTAAAGACACTTAATGAGTTGACAAAAAATGATTAAGCCTAGGCTGAAGGATGATTTGGGGATTCACAACCTTCATCTTACCAAGGTGACCCTTTAAGCTACCAAAATGATACATCTCTATCGAAACTGATTTGATTCAATTTGGACAAATATAATTTTGTGCATTCATTCATGATAAATCCAAGTCTCAAATAATATTAACTGGAGTTGGAGATCATTTCCCATTTGGGTTCCTTAAAACTATCTAAATTGAGGAAGCTCGCATAGTCTCGAGGCATTGTAGGCTATTCGAAGCTCAGGAAGGAAGAACTAACTGAATTATTAAGTGCTTAATGATTCATATATATATATATATATATATATATATATATAAGATATTTAGAAAGATTAAATTTATTCAAAAATGTTTAAGAAATTAGATCGAAACACATAAAACGTTAATTGAGCTTATTAAGATTATCATCCGTCATCAATCTTAATGTAAATAGATATCAATCTAAGTACAAGTCAAGTTTTATGGACTAATTTGTGATGTCTATCACTAAAATTATCCCACCAACACCTTACTTCTAATATTAACACTAACCCTAATCTTCTCCTTAATCCTAATTCTTCTCTTAAACCTAACTCGAACCCTACATCTAACCTTAGCCCCCATCATAACCTTTACCCTAACCTAAATATCACAATATGTAAACAATTGATTACTTTTTTCCATGCACGAAGCATCACAATACGTGAACAATCGATTGCTTTTTTTCATGCACGAAGCTGTTCTTTTTGTTCTTGCCTACTTGTGATTATGGATGCCAAATGGGTGAAGACACTCATCGATCCATTCCACCAGCCTGCCTGCATCTTTAATCTGTGAACTTCTTGCATGCCTAAAAACCAAGAAACTCTGGACTTTGTGGGGTTCCGTTGACTTTGTGTGGACTCCACCGTCCACATGAGTGTTTGTAGTCAACGAAGGAAGGCCCCCACCACAAATAGCCCTTCTGTGGTTCGTCCACTGTATTTTCCCGAGTCAAAGTCTACCTCAATGTATTATGCTGTCCCCGCCCTGCAGCTCGGTTTTTCCACAGAGAAGATAGCACCAAACCATAGAAGCACGAAGGACGCAGGATCGACGACGACGACGACCCCAATGCACGCATTTGCCACGTCGAATCGAGTGGGAACGATTAGCGCGGAGCCAAAGGGATGTCAACACTGCGGTGGCAACCAGAACACCGTGCACCTCGATGCTGATTCCAACCACCGACGCCACGATTTCCACGACCAAATGTCCGATGGAACTTCCACCCGGCTCCAATTGCTTCCAGTCGCGATTTAAACATCGAACTCCGTAGTATGAACTCAAACAGAAGCTTAAGCTAAGAAATGGCGGCTGAAATCCGAGGCCCTTCCTCTCTCTTCCTCTTCTACCTCTTCCTCTGCCTCGCTTCCGTGGTTGCATCCCAGACACTACCGAACAATGACCAGAAGCGGATCCTCCTGCGGATCAAGCGGGAGTGGGGAGGCGAACCCGCTCTGGACTCGTGGAACGTCGACAACCCCACCACCTACTGCAAGTGGCTGGGCGTGGGCTGCGCTGCTGACGGCTCCGTCGTCAACATCACTCTGTCCGACCAGACCTGGACAAGGATCACCCGGCCGATCCCAGCCTCCCTCTGCGACCTCAAGAACCTCACCCACCTCGACCTCAGCTACCAACGCATCCATACCCGCTTCCCCACCTCCCTCTACAACTGTTCCAGCCTCCGGTACCTCGACCTCAAGCAGAACGGCTTCGTTGGAGCGATCCCCGCTGACATCGACCGACTCTCGCCGCGGCTCACGCTCCTCGACATCTCCGGCAACAACTTCACGGGCGACATCCCTCCCTCCATCGGCCGGCTCCCGGCGATCCAAACACTGTGGCTATATGCCAATCTCTTCGATGGAAGCTTACCCGCCGAGATCGGCAACCTGTCCCGCCTCCAACAGCTTGGGCTGGCATACAACTCCTTTGCTCCAATGAGGATTCCATCGGAGTTCGGCAACTTGACTAAGCTGACCTTCCTGTGGATGACCAGTGCCAATCTCCAAGGCGAGATACCGCCCCCGTTCGCGCAGCTCAAAGTGTTGACTCAGTTAGACTTGTCGGAAAACTCGCTCACCGGAGCGATTCCCGCGGGAATCTGGGGCCTACCGAATCTGCAATACTTGTACCTGTACAAGAACAACTTATCCGGTTCCGTCGTCATCGACGGGACGATCGGAGCTCTGGGCCTGGTAGAGATAGATCTTTCGATGAATCAGCTCACTGGATCGATCCCACACGACTTCGGCAAGCTCAAGAAACTCTCTCTCCTCTACTTGTACTACAACAGGTTATCCGGCGAGATACCGGCGAGTATCGGCAAGCTTCCGTCTTTGTCCACTCTCCGACTATTTAGCAACGGCTTAACCGGCGTCTTACCGCCAGAATTGGGCAAGAACTCTCCTTTGATAGACATTGAGGTCGATGACAACAAGATCTCCGGCGAGTTACCGGACGGGCTATGCGACCGTGGCGCCTTCAATTCCATCGTGGTCTTCGACAACAGCCTCACGGGAAGGATACCGTCGTCGCTCGGAAAGTGTTCGAAGCTCAACAATTTCCAGATCCACAACAACCGGTTCTCCGGTGAGCTGCCCGATGGGATTTGGTCCGCCATGTATTTGACGACCGTGATGGTGAGTAACAACAACCTCACGGGAAGGATACCGCCGTCGCTCGGAAAGTGTTCTCCACTGACAACTCTTTTCGTGGACGGCAACCAATTCTCCGGCAAGGTACCTGATGGGATATGGGCGGCCGTGAATTTGACAATTCTTGTCATGAACGATAACGCCTTCTCCGGCACGCTTCCCCACAAACTCCCACCGAAGCTTTCGTGGTTAGAAATCGTAGACAATCGATTCACCGGCAAAATTCCCTCCTCCGCTCCCAGCTTGGTGGTGTTCTTGGCCAGCAACAACATGTTCTCCGGCGAGCTCCCCTCCAACCTAGCTGGACTTTCAACACTCCAACTCTTCAATATGGGAAACAATATGATCTCCGGAAGAATTCCGGAGGATATCTCATTGCTGAAGTCACTCGCCGAGCTCAATCTACGCCATAACCAGCTAACAGGAGAGATTCCGACGTCGATCGGGTCGCTGAAGCAACTGACATCGATGGATCTATCGGGCAACGAGCTCTCCGGCTCAATCCCATCAGAGATGGGTAATCTGAAGCTCAGTTATATCGACCTCTCGTCCAACCAGCTCTCCGGCGAGATTCCGGTGGCGCTACAGACCGAGGCATTCGACCAAAGCTTCCTCTCCAACCCAGGACTTTGCGCCTCCAATTCTCTTCTCAGCGTCCCTACCTGCCCGACCAGGGATCACAACTTACTCTCTCGCCTTGGCCTTCGCATCCTCTTGCTCGCTCTGTGCTCGCTCGTGTTCTTGACCGCGGCAACGCTGTTCTCCATCTGCGTGATCGGGAAGAACAGGAAGAGGAGGCATCTCGCCGCATGGACGCTGACCCCTTTCCACTCGTTGGATTTCACGAAATCCGACATCGTAAATGGAATCAAGGAGGAGAATCTCATCGGCGTGGGCGGCGCTGGTAAGGTCTACAGGGTCACTCTGGGAAACCAGGCCAGCGAGATCGTGGCCGCCAAGAAGATTTGGAACGGTGGGAATCTGGACGGCAGGCTAGAGAAGCAATTCCAGGCAGAGCTGCAGATCTTGGGATCCATCAGGCACAAGAACATCATCAAGCTGCTCTGCTGCTGCTCCAGCCTCAACTCCAAGCTGCTGGTGTACGAGTACATGGAGAACGGGAGCTTGCACAAGTGGCTGCACAGGAAACACATGGCGGCCGGCGGATCACCGCAAGAGACACCACTGGATTGGCCAAGGAGGCTGGAGATCGCCATCGGGTCGGCCCGAGGGTTGTGCTACATGCACCACGATTGCTCACCGCCCATCATACATCGAGACGTGAAGTCGAGCAACATCTTGTTGGACTCGGAATTGAACGTTAAGATCGCCGACTTCGGGTTGGCGCGGATGGTGGCTAAGCCCGGTGAGCTCGATACGGCATCCGTCGTCGCCGGGTCGCATGGCTACATTGCTCCAGGTGAGAAAGATCCAGTGATTGATTCCCCTGTTCTCGCAACAAAAAGACTAGAATAAATGTGATGAGGGTTCAATCTCCACGCAGAATGCGGGTACAGCAGAAGGTTGAACGAGAAAGTGGACGTGTACAGCTTCGGGGTGGTTCTTCTGGAGCTGACAACGGGAAGGGAGGCATACGACGGCGGTGACGATCAGTGTAACCTGGCAGAATGGTCCCGGCGACACCTTCAAGAAGGTGGAGAACCAGGCGATGCCATCGACCCGGAGCTACGAGGCTCATCGCACGTAGACGACATGGCGACGGTGTTCGAGTTGGGCGTCCTCTGCACGGAGACTTCGCCTTCGCAAAGACCTTCGATGAAGGAAGTGTCTCGATTCCTGATGCGATGCAAGAGGGCCTGAAACGAAGCCCTGTGGAGTGGCTCAACTTCCCCAAGCGAAGGAAGGTGGCTTTCCAAACATTTGAGCAGTGACTGATGTCCACTGCAGCTGCATGATTGATTGACAACCAAATGACATAGAACATGATTTTTCTCATCATCGTCGCAAGAAGCAGTTCTGTTTGTTAGAAGATCAAATTAGGAAACAGAACATAGCCAAGCATGCATCAAAGTGTAGAAGAAAACCACTGTTACAGATAAATACTGGCACAGCATCAGCTGCAGACAGGAGACCAATCCATAAGATTTGTGAAGGGATCAGATCTCCTCCTCTTATTTGCCAATAGTGAAGAGACGATAGCAAAAAGGATAAAAAAAGGATACAAACATACGGCGGCAGCGGTGGAAGCAGAAACCTCTGTAAATAAATTCTCGCTTTTTCTTTCCTTCTGCGAGATTGACTACCATCTTGTTTCCGCAACATTAAATTAACAAGTCCTTCATAAAAACAATAGCGGACATAAGGTTCATAGTGTTTTGCATAAAAGTCTCTGCTGAGAAGATACCTTTAGGACAGTACAGGCTGTAGATACTGAGAGTGAGAAGCTGCGAGGAGAGCTGCACCGATGCCTGATCCATCGCTTGCCAGCTTGACGACAACAGAAGATGAGGCCTCTTCTCCGAGCATCTCCTTGAGGGTGCATTGCAAGCACTCGCTGAAGATGGTGTAGTGTTCGTAGAGTCCACCGTCCATGGCGATGACTGTCCTGCCTCCATCCTTCACCGCATTGTCGCGCCCGATCTTCTTCAGGATACCAACTATGCCAGCAGCTGCCAAGCGAGCCCCACGCTTGGCAATGATGTCACAGATCTGGATTACCACTTTTCTTGTTTTGAGAGAGGTGTCGGGGATCTGGAATTCAAAGAGAATCAGATATTCTGAGGAATAGCCAAAAGCACCTTCGTCAGGAATGATCAAAATCATACCCCTAAAACTTCATTCAGCTTTTTCCCAACAACTTTGAGATCGGCTGATGTGTCATGGTGCATAGCTGACATAACGGGGGTCCTGCACATCTCATATCGATAATTTGTTCAGACTAAACGTTAAGCTGTAAGACATAGAAGAAAAACCGATATTCTAAAGCATAAAATGATAACTAATTATAGAAGGAATGTAGAGACCACCAGTTCAATTGAGACTGAACTGCATATGAGCATATTAAAAACCATTTCATACTTCCACCCCAATGTACAAGATACATGGCTTGAAGTCTTAGTTTCAGTTTCCATTTCAGTCACTGATCAGGTCAAAACATTTCTGCTTTTCTGGGCAAGCTCTAACTTCTATCGTGTTTAGATACTACCAGAAAAAATAATGAAAAAAAATACTTGAAATTGCTTTTCGATACTCCCAAAACTAGAAAAAAATGGGGAGAATGTCACTGCAATTATGAAGTTGGAGAACAGGTTCTAAAACAAGATAATAAGATATTTCTTAGTATGAATAGTCATTGGATATTGTCATTGGTCTGGCAAAAAGACAAAAAAACAGAGAGTAGCAGGATAGGTAAATATGATAAATAGTAGGAAAGCTTACTGACATGATATTATGAAAAGAAATAAGGTTACATGAATTAGGTCAAGCCATCAAGGCTATAAATTTCAACTTTTTGTATTATACAAACTACAAAGGCACTATAATCAACAGGATTCTAGCAACACATCAAAATGACCTATTCTTTCAGAACTGGCCCAGGAATCGGTAAAAAATTTTCAGAATCACTCACTTAGGCAATGTTCATTGGACCAGGCATATAAATCTATGGAAGGATATGAAGCACTAGTTTCCATTCTAGCAAGGAAGCCAATTATCTGAATATATTGAATTATTACCACCTAATTAGCTGAATCTGTATGCAAACTGCGCAGTATTTACCAATAGCAAGTATGACAACATACCGTAATATGAATGGAACTTCAAGCTTTGGTGGAACACTGTCTCCAAAAAAGGAAGCTTCCTTAGACAATCTCAGGAGGACTCTTCGTAAAATTTCTCCCAGGTACATTCCAGAGATTAACTTTTCAAAAATCTGTCATGACAAAACAATATGGAGACATTGCATTCCAACATATTCCCGCAATAGAAAGATGTTCGACAAAACAACGTGAATATCGTGCATCACCTGTTCACCAGGGTTTAAACTCTCGTTATCTAATGCTTGATCATAGTCCGTTGTAGGAAGATGAGATGACCTAAAATTTCCCCACTCCATGTTGATAACCTGAATATCGATGCAATTCAGGAACAATTTAGACGATGTCAACAGGCCTTGGCAATGGCTATAAACCAGGAAACTTATTTTACTATACGTTTTAATTATCATAACAACGGCAAACAAAAATAATTTAAAATCAGATAAAAAAAGTTTGCTTACCATCTCTCCTGATTTGGGTAAGAGACCATGCCACTTAGGTATTGCATGAGCACGCTCTACATAGGCTGCATTTGTACCGGTGCCCAATATCACAGCAGCAACTACATCATTATCGTAATATCTCCCACCAGCTAATGTCCCAATTGTGTCATTAACCTACATCAATGAACATTAACTCACTTCATCTCATCTAGATAAGGAAATCCATAGCAACAAGAAAATAATCAATTATATAGCCAAAGTGCTACATATTACCATCTCAATGAAAAAAATTACCATCCTGAACTGAAAGACGGGAAATGTAAAGAGGAGCATACCAGTGCCGATACTCGCATATCAAGACCTTGTCTTTCCATAGCCCTAGTCAATTCAGCCACCACATCTTCCCCAACCTACTTTCAACAACAAACGGAACCACAAGCTATTAGGTCTCATTACTTAAGATATGATATCTAAATTCAAACTATATAATGCCCAAATGAACTATCAAAAGAAATAACCATGCCTTAATCGTTTATAATGCCATTGAACATCAACATAACTTAAGAAACTTACACAAACAATTTCACGATCTAACACAGTTTGTCTAGTTAAACAAATATTAAAAATTTTGATGGCAATGCATCGAGCTCTTTTAAGTTACGACTGGACATAAACATCTTACTAGCAATTCTAAGAAAGCGAAGTAAAAGCAAATAAGTAAAAAATCCTAAAAAGAAATCTGAAAGGTTAAGGACATGCAAAGTTATTAATTTCAAGAAAAAAATAGAAAATGCAAAACCTAAATAAGCATGGAAACATTGGACTCCATTATTGAGGGAGCTTCTTTTGCTTTGTTGTCAAAAGCTGAGATGCTCAACAACCTACTAGAGTATTTTCTTTTTAATCTTGTCCAGTATTAATTAAAATGCAAGTTAAGATTACACATTAACCACAGACAACAAACTCTGGAATTTGAGAAGCACCTACTTGACAGAAACTACGACGAAAAGAATGGATGAAACTTGGCTTGTCGTTGTTCAAAATTATAGCCCATAGGTGAAGATTGAGTAAATAATGTTTTTACTTTTTAGAACCAAAGAAGAACTTAATCATCTGTCGGGATGAGATACAAATTTTTCTAAAGCTGACCTAAAAAATATAGCAAGATAAGTTATTCCATTATCTAACATCAAATGCAGATAACACAATAGAAAATAACAAAACTACCACTACATATGCCCACTACAACTGCTAATCAGCACGAAGCAAAATTAAATATAACTTCTCAAGAAAAATAATAATCTGCTGAGAAGTTACCGTGCCATCGATATTGAAACCTTTTGTCCATTTAATAAGGGTGCCCGACGCTATAGAAATTTGCCTCACTGGAAATGAAAAGGTAAAACCGAGTTCCCTCTGCCTACCAACAGGGAGGTGAAAATCTTCACCTTCGGAAGCAACAAACTTTGCTAAAGCCGAAGCAATGAAATCAAAAAGTTCCTAAAAATATAGAGGTAAACACATATTAGATGCCCCACCCACATAATCTTGATAAAGAACACCACAATCAAGCATTTCACTTACATCTGAGCCTCCAACCATTAGATGTGGTGGAATGGAAACCTCCTCAAATTCTTGCTTTGCAACACGCCCCTCCTTTCCCCCCAGTTGTACACGTAGGACACGGAAGTTGGTTCCTCCAAGATCTAAAGCATAAAACAGACCTGTCTCATCCCTGTGAAAGCAGTATTTCAGTCTGAGATGCCACTTTAGGATATAGATGCAGATTCAAAGCTGTTTATCCAATAACACACAGCAACAGTTCAACTTTCAAATCCAACTAGCATGTTTTCTGTAGGCTGGTGATCATATGCAAATAATCTTACAGAGAACTACATAAACATGCTAAATGGCCAATTTGACATATGCTTATTTGCCAATAAAAGATATTTCTCATTTAACATATTCCAAAATGTTTTTGCTACCATTAACAACTACCTTGCATATGCATATGCACAAATATATACACACACATCTCAGAGGTCCTCGTATATATGCTAACTGAAATCTATTATGTGTCTTCCCCAACATAAAGTTGAACCTTATTTTCCTTTTTGACGCAAAACAAACTCTTCTCGAACGCACTGCACATGTTGCTCTTAAGGCAGATATCATTTAATTAGACCTATTTCAATGCTAGTGATCTAAATCATAATGCATGCTAACAAATCATAATGCATGACTTGATTAACAATTTAACAATCCATCTGCTTGAACTTAATCCAGCTGCTGTGTAAACAATGCTTAGTGATCTGATGCAAGGATAAAATAAATGTTTGGAAGAGTATTCCTGCTATTTATGTCTCCAAAAGAGATGAAGGCTGTGAAAGTTAAAGCGGTTTTAAATCCTATAAAGGTTTGATGAAGCTGATTTCTAAGGCCAAGTAAGCTAATACAAAATAAAATATGGTAGCAATTATGACACCAGTTCTGCAGATATGGTGCAACCTCTGACCCTGACATCAGCCTTCGCTGTGACGCAGCCATGAATTCCACAGTTTTGGCGCACGCTCTTCCCCTGACATCAACCTTCATTATGGCATGGTCATTAGTCATTCTTGCTGCCCGCAGCAGCCCAAGGCTGCGAACAGTTTTGGACCATGGTGACAGTGCAATCAAGGTCTATGTCAGGGCCAAGAGGTACATCATAGCAACCACTGGAGATATTTGCACGAACAACCATTACATTTCAATGACACTTCATGAGATTCTCCTTCTCATCACAATTTTTTTTAAAAGAAGAAGTAGACAACTGAGTGGTTGCAAGAACATGAATCAAATCAGAAATCAGATCAGCACTTTTCTTGTCGTTCTCTGATGTTGTGTTGACAATTTATGACCCTAACACAAACTAAAGAGGGGTATCATATTTAAAGTAGTCATAGATGCATTTACATTACCGTAAACACCAACAGATTAAAAGGAAAAACACAAAAGAAAAAAACTAAGACGAAAAAAAAGTATAAAGTAATATCTTTCAGGCCCCTGCAGAATTTTAGAAAAAAGAATCTTCTTTTCACCCGATGGAACGTAAACCGGCTATAGAAAGAATTCTAGTAGTCACTAAAGTCTAACCACAAGCTCTTAGCAAAGGGAACCCACAGATAACTCATATTAGAGGAGATTGCCGGACGAAGAAGAGATGTCAAGAAAATAATCCTATAATCAAAACCAAAATTTGCAATAAAATCATTGAATTAACAAAGAAAGCACAGAATCTATTAATAAACATAATAGAATAAGGAACACCGCCCCCACACCAAGGGAAAAAAATAATTATATATAGTTAAATTAAGGCGAAGAAAAATCTTTGACCAAATATCATGCCAATATTTCAAGGAGACGCAACTGATCTCGTATCAACAAATACGCAATAACATCAAAGAGGCTTTTTTTGTCCTGTGCCCAAGGGAAAGACGGCCCATACCCAGTCGGGAGGTTGTCAACGTAGCTGATCAGCATCTTGAGCTTGCTCCCGCCCTCGGAGGCGAGTCCAGCGTGCATCTCCACCGTCATCGCGTCGGCCACCTGCCGCAGCTTCCCGACGGGCGTCGCGCACCGCTCCTCGAGCTCCTTCACCACCGCGGAGACCGGCGCCCACTTACCGGAGCTCCGCATCCGGTTACGCACGACGAGCGCCGTCACGGCACACGCCGCCGCCGCCGCGCACACAACAGCCGTCGTCACTCCCACCTTCCCCATTTCCCCGACACCTAGCACCGACCCAAGCAGCTCCGACGAGAAGACCGCGACCCAATTCTTTCCCGATCGATCCAAGAACCTAGGGTTCCGAGCCCCGTCTTCCAAAAACCCTTCCCTCGGATGTCCAAATCGATCAAGTTCACAAGAACAAGTCGGGATTTTGGACAGATCGGCAGCTCCTCCCCACCTGGTCGGGATCAACGAGTTGGGCAACGGTAAGATCTTGCAGGCCGATGCGGTACGTCGCAAGGATTTTGGTATTTATTTAGCCGGAAGAGAGAAAGCCGCCATTTAAGAAACACTAATGGCGCATTATTATTATTATTATTACAGTGCATTTGATGCAAGTTACATATATTACATATTACATATTATATATATATATATATATTCAAAGGTCAACAAGTTGACTGGATTGGTAATTTTCAATCTCCAATGTTGCAAATTAGGTATGATTGACATTATTAATTGACTTTGACTTGAATCCAAACGAGATGAGCTCGAGGGAAAAGTCAACGATCATTTTGAATCGTAAAATTTGACTTGAAGAAAACAAGTTCTCCATAAAAACAGTAGGAATCAAACGGATGATTTCAAGAAAACCATTTATTATAACCTTCCTCCTATACGGAGGAGTTCCCCTACATATCCTCCGCAAGTGCAAGAAAGATTCATTGATGGGTTACGATGTATGTAATCTTATCATGTCAATTTGGCTTATCAAATAAAAAAACATATTTCATTTATTAAAACAACTTAATATTTTGGAACTCGTGGTCGTTATCATTTTTATATTCATATGATGATGTTGTCACATTTTGGAATCCAAATCGAGGAATAAATCATAGGCGATCACAATCCAAAGCATTTGGCTTTATGCTCTGAAATAAAGCCATTCGACAACAGCACGCATTGCGGTGAGAGAGAGACGCGTACGTCTGTGGGTTCCTATCTTGTCTCATCAACTTCCATCGTTTGGGCATCATTTCATCTCCCCAAGCGATGAAGCATCTAATTGTATCCTTTTACCATTAAGTGAAGTCACGCATAGAAAAAGCTTCCTAAAAATTCAAAATGAGTTGAAGTGACCCCAACATGCCTCTTTTAACATTATATATATATATTGAGAATTATCTCGAATCATTCTTTTAACATTTTATATTAAAAAATTTAACATTTATTTATTTTTACAATGTCACTAGTAAAATATTTTATATTGAATTAATATTTATATAGATCATTTATTAATCAAAGTTTATTATATATATATTAATTATACTATCACATATTGATTATATGTAAAGAGAAGAATTGGAATAAAAACGTCATGCCTTAATTATAATTAGTTATGGTATTTATATTTCTAAAAGTTATATGCCTTAATTATATTTCTCATCACATCGTCGATTTTGGTGATAAAAATATGGTAAGATTTATCACTCAGCATATCGATTTATCCATATACAATATTTTCACAAATAGAATCGTCGATATGAAAAAATAAAATTAAATATATTAATTTCATAAACATAAAAGATCTTAACATAATTTTTAAAATTATAAGGATTAGAATATTAAAAATAATTAATTATCAGATAATTAGTCCAAAACATCATCAATTGTAAAATTCAACGATGGTAAGCCCGAAGAAGATGATCGGAACAGAGCACCAAATGCAAGTGCGGCGAAGAACAGTAGTAATTCCTACTACAGTGTGATGACAGTGGCCAACCACTGAAATGGAATGGTGAGGCAGGCAGGGGTTTGTTGTAATTCCTGTTCGAACAGCAGAACCAAGAACTCAAAAAATGGGGTTGTGTCACTGGTCACGATTGGTTTGCAGATCTCCAGGTTCAGAATCCCCAAACGCCACTGCCCAATCCCAAGCAATGGGTACTCTCTCTGGTTTGCCGCTCTCCCACTCAAAACACTTGCAGGAGCTACCAAATGGGGTGCCATTCCTCTACCCATTTGCCCATTTCCTTCAGCTTCGAGCAACTATAAACAATACATAACTCAAAAACACTCGGCATAGCTACTCCAGCGTGCCATGCCTCTATCCTTTTGCCCATATCTTTTAGCTTCGTCTCTTGGACACTCACGATAGCACCTAAATAAATATGCTTTTGTTTTGTCTGGAGATGGCTACCTAAGCGTGCCATTCCTCTAGCTTTGTATGCCATATCTTTTGACTAGTGATAAGAACATCCAAATGTGCTTTTGTTTGTGCTATCTTAGTGTATCAAACAAAACCTTTCTCAAACACTTGTTTACAAGAAAAAGAAAAGAAGGGCTCACTAGACTCTGCCTACAACACCTCAGGCTCTTTGAATAGTGTCATCACTGCCCATCATTTCACCATTTAAAGTAATCTGCTTGGGTTTCTGGCACAAGAACCAAAACACCATCAATGATAAGCTCCTTTTTCAGTGAGTAATCATCCTCAACTGAGATATCATATATAATTTATTCTCAAGAATCCATCCATTGGATCCCTTGTTCCTGACATGTCTACAAGCTTTTTACAGCCTCAAAGTAAGTTTTCTTTGGGGGTGTAATTAGTGAAGCCAAATGAGATCATTGTGATCGCATCATAAAGTCATAGTTATGCTATACAAGAGAGATTGGTGGATCAACATCATAAAGTCTTCGTCTGTACACAGCCATTAATCTAATACATTGTGCTGAGAGACTGCTGTTTCTTTATGCACGAACAGGCGACGTAAGAGACAAAGTCTATGCTAAGATTCTCCCGCAAGAGGCTAAAGTCCTACCCCGAGTCTTGGATTTCTCGCTGCTCTTTTTGGTGCTCACCACGTTACTTCCTCGTCATCGCGATGTCCAAAGCTACACGATCCATTTGTAGCAATAGAAAATGTTTCCTTGAAATCTCAATCCGCCAGCGAGCACATCATCACGTCGTCGCTGCCGCAGAGGCGAGGTGGGAACTTGCGGCCTACCTCACCTTGCAAAGAGTCAAAATCTACCCCACCTTGAGGCCATTACTGCTGTCCTCCCCTTGCGCAGATCTATCTCTGAGAACCCTGTTGTGGTCTCAGAAAGAGACACAGAGAGATCCCCTGCGGGGAAGACGGCCGTGACGCCGAACAGAGCAAGATGCGGTTCACCAAACCCAGGATCTCTCCTTTTCCTTTCCTCTACGGCCTCCGCCGTAGCAGTGCGTAGCTCCTTTTGGCTTCGGTTCTACGAGTAGGAGCAGCAGCTCACGAGATTGGAAGCGGGTGGAAGAAGTCATATGCCGTGTAATTATCTTTCCCGAGGAGAGAACGCCAGAAAGAAGAGAGAGAGAGAGGGGAGGAGATCGTACGAAGAGTTAGTCCGGTAGCTAGGCTGCCTAAAGCTAGGACATTGTTGTAAGCATTGAGCTCGATTTTATTACTTGCTGTCTCTGATTTCTGTCATTTTATGAAGCTTTTGCCTGCTAAGAAGAGGGGAAAGATCCGATTTTTTCCGGTCTTTGAGGTGTGTTTCATACTGCCCTTGCACTGCGTCATGTTTTCTAGCGGAACAGAGTGTTGTTTTTGTAGCTGGGCGTCGTCAATGATGAAGGCTACTGTGAGAAAGGATGACAGAGGTAAGAGAGAGAGAAAGAACGAGAAAAGAATACCTTAACAAGCTTGAGGAGGAGGAGGAGGGGGGTTCATCTTCTCTCTCTGTGTGTCCTGTCTTTTCTGCTGATGATTTATCCGAGTAAGTGGAGAATATTGGGGGACACGAGAAGCTCACAGTGTGACGCGGCTTTTACTGTTCTAAGTGGAACAGTCACGCATTTTTGCCTGCCATCTTTCTTCAATTATTTTGATTCTTGCGCTGAGCTGATGACTCCCTTCCTTCTCCCGCTTCTATATCCTCTTTAAATACCTCTGTTATCCTCTCACACTTTTTAGCTGTTCACCACCTCGATGCTTCTCATCTTTTGATTCACTGCTTCCCCTGCCGTCCCTGTAGGAGACCCCCGGCAATGGGCCGGGCAACGAGGTGGCTGAGGAGCCTCCTGGGAAGGAAGAAGGACGCCAAGGTTCAAAAGGAGGATGCCGGTTCCGATGGCTACCCAACGAGAGACAAGAAGAGGTGGAGCTTCGCGGAGCCACGGCAGCCTTCTGACGGGAGCGTGGCTCGTAGTCCGGCGTCGGCACTGGAGACGGCGTGGTTGAGGTCCTTCTACGACGACGGCGAGGTGGATGGCAAGCGTGCCATGGCCGTGGCGGTAGCCACCGCGGCCGCAGCCAATGCGGCGGTGACGGCAGCTCAGGTCGCGATGGTGCGGCTGAAGAGTCTAGGGAGAGGAAGAACGGCCACACATGGCAGGCACGAGTGGCGGGCGGCTGTTAAGATTCAGACGGCCTTCAGGTGCTACTTGGTGAGGCTGAATCCATCATACTACATGAAAAGATCCCATTTTTACGTGTCCCTCCCGTTCAACTTCTATGGCATCTCTCGTTTTTCTGGCTTTGCATTAACAAGTTACCATGGATCTTCTTGGCCATTTAACAGGCGAAGAAAGCTCTTCGAGCTCTCAAAGCTCTGGTCAAGCTGCAGGCTCTTGTCAGAGGTCAACTTGTGAGGAAGCAAGCAGCCGCAACCCTCCGCGGATTGCAAGCTCTGATGCGAGCCCAGTCGGTCGCCAGGCCGGGAGAACCTCGTGTTCTGCCCCAGCAAGGCCGAAGATTCAACGCAGAGTTCTGCCGTCGTAGATCCTTCGTATGATTCGACTCCTCGGAAGCCTTATCGTTTCATCTTCCATCAACAACCACCCGCACTGATTCAAGATTCTCTTCTTCTTCTTCTTCGTCTTCTTGTGCAGGAAAGGCTTAATGCCAGGGACGCCAGTTGCAAGCATAAGGGATCAAAACAGAGCGATGGGTTCGACAGGAGTCCGAAGACCAAATCCAGGTCATTCCGGAGAACATCCCCTTCCAACATCAACGCGCTTGAAGAACCAGCGGTGCCGATCTCCTCTCCGCTTCTATACCAGGTTCCGCGACGCCTCTCCATCCCCACCTGCCGGAGCTCCGAAGACTACCATGTCTGCCGAAACCCCGACAAGTCGCCCTACTCCATGACAACACAAAGTACTCCTCGCTTCACCCCGGGAACTCCGAGCCCCTCCGACCTCCCAAACTATATGGCAAGCACGACGTCGTTCGTGGCGAAGGCGAGGGCGCAGAGCGCACCGAAGCAGAGGCCGGAGAAGACCAGCCCGAGGAAGAAGGCGTCGGCAATTGAGGTGGCGGCCGGTGCAGGTGGAAGGTGGGCTGTGGGGAGGCTGGAGAGGTCTCCTAAGGTGGTGGCGAGGGATTACTTCTCGGGTAGTCTGTGGTGAAGAGGCAGAGTAGCTGCTTAGAGTTGTGAGTGATGTGCAGTTATCCTACTCTGGTTTGAATGAATGCGTTGCACTCTTCAACCTTTTACTCTTTGGTGAACTTATTATAATGCATTCCGCGTTTCAAGTGATTAGTTCTTTAAGAGTTTAAAGTCTGACAGTCCGCACTCGATTGGGAGTCCATAAGCAGAGCTCATTAATCATGAAAATGAGGATGTTAGATGTTAGGTGTAAACAACTTTGTGCCTTGTGACCGACGCGGCTTGGTTCGGGGCTGAATGACGGGGATTTTTGCTCGAGGTCTCTCGGGATTGTCGGAGTGACCGACCGCGCGGACCAGATCACCGTTGGGTTCGTCAGGATGTCCCCGGGGGAAGGCGTCCTCTCCTTGCGTCCCAGGAAAATAGCTTTGTTTCCTTACCTGCACACAGGTCAGGTCGGGTCGGAAGCTCGGCCTGACTCCTCCGACAATCAAGTTAGTGATGTGGAGTGGAGTTTGTTATCTATGTTTCTCCCTTTCTTCAGTTTGGAATGCAGTGGCATTTATAGGGAAACTTACTGTTTCCTGATGTGTCCGCTTGCAGGGAGCAAGCTCGTACTTTTGGTAGCGTCTGACACGGGTGTTGAGTTCGTCTGACCAGGTCTGAACAGGTCGTTAATGGGCCTCGGTGCGCGTTCTGATTCGTCTGACCAGATTCCGTCGGGTCGTTTGAGATATGAGGTGTCGTCCGTGACAGCTAACATCTGCGCGAGTCTTATCGTCATTTATTACCCCCATTATTAGATATCCTATATAACATAATATTTAGAGGGGTAAATATGAACAGAGGGAGAGATTTAGATTTCTCCAACTAGAAATGCACTTATATGATGCCCACAGTAATTAATTCGATGCATGGATAATCTCGAATATTCGAAATGTCAACGTAGGATTATTCTCATTATTTTGTTCCATTACGTGTTCTCGCGTCTTTCCAATATGAAACTCTACCATCATGCGAGTGCCAATAATATTATTGCCTTACTCCATTGATCGACTACTATTAATCATAGTTTACGGAATGCCATAAATGAGACACTAATTCTTCTTATTCTGCTTCTCGCCTGTTACTTTAATCCAATTTAGTTGGTGATGTGGTTTGAGTTCCAGAGAACCAGTAAGGCAGACCAGTTGACTTTTCTCCAGTGATCACTTCTTGGCGCAGGCGTTGACTTGGTTTAGTCTACATGCAAAGCTTGTGGTTGGCAGTGATAATGAACAGTCTAGATTGGACGTTTGGGGTGACCCCTAATTGCACCATCATGCAGCTCTGGGTAACGTTGAAGGATTCATGACGAGAGAGTTTATAGGGAAGCCATGGGAGTCGAGAAGCACGTTTTAGCAGTTCGTTGACATGCGTGCATCCTATAAGGATGAAGAGAAGAAGATGGCGGCGCCGAAGGCCGTGGGATGTGTTAGCTCCATCATAATGCTGTCATGGCGCTTTCTTCTTCTGGGTTTCTGGTTACCACACAGTACTACTGTTCATGGCCAAGGCAACGGTAAGCCCTTATTTGTCTTTATGCCATCGTTCACTGCTAACTCTCGTGTTGCAGGCTTCATCGGCATCGACTGCGACATGGCCGATGGGAACGACTGCGACGACAGTCAAACACAGATGACTACGATCTCCATCTTGAAGTCAATCCATGGAGATCTATCAGCATCTCGACTGCGTCCTCGTACTATTTGGCCGAGGCCACTTCAGTGTCTTCGGCTGACTTCCATCTTGAAGACCACTCTGTCTCCTGCTGTGAATTCCTCTGTTTTCTTCTCATCGGCGTAACATGGGATCTTCTGAAACGCTTAGGTGAGGATTTGGAGCTTACGTTGCAGTGTTTCTTTCGATTCCTCCACATCCATAAGGTGTGGTGTTTGTGCCATGGCGAACAGGTGCCCTGTGGACGTATGTTATGTTCGCAGAAGGAATACGAGTGACCGAGGTAATTGTTAGTGTAAACAACTTTATGCCGTGGCCTCGGGGCCGACGCGGCTTGGTTGGGGGTCCGAATGTCAAGGATCTTGCACGGCGTTCCTCTTGATCTCTCGGTGGTCGATTACGGTGGTCCGGTCGGGATGTCGCGTCGGAAGGAAAGCTTCACCGCAGCGCCGGGAAGAGGCGGCCCCGTTCTTGCACCTGCACACAGGTCGGGCCGGAAGCTCGGCCCGGCCCCTTCGACGATTAAGTCAGTGGATGTGGAAGGGATTTTGTATGAAGAAGTGCCCTCCCCTATTCGTTTGGAACTCGGGGGTATTTATAGGTGAGTTTAGTGTTACCTGGTGTGTCTGTCCGCGAGAGTAGGATCGTACCTCTGATGGCGTCTGACATTACCATTGGCGTTGCGTGGAGAACCGAATTGCCGCAGGGCATGGGCGAGCCTCGGTCGTCGTTCTCCTTTGCCTCGGCCAAGCGTGTTGGGTCAGACAACGACTAAGTTGTTGTCTGAGAGCGGGTGACGTCCGCACACATCGCGTCGGTATTATTGTCCTCTTTTAGGTAGAGTGTTGTTCAGGCGTGACTTACGTCGTGGCGCGTCATGTCGCCATTATTACCCTCATCAGTAATCACAATCATGTGCAGATAACTTGTGCTTATCGAATGTTAATTCTTTTCGTTGTCAGAGAGCTTGCAGCTGGAGATCATCACTCACAACCATGACTTCTGATGTGAGTCAGTGACTGTGCGCTGCCGTGTTCGTCCCGAGTGATTTTGAACCACGAACATTGTGTTTCCTTGTAGCTTAACATCATGTACGATGATGAAGTGAAGGAACGCAGTAGTTTCTCATCGATCATCGTCTCAAATGAGTAGATGACATGATGCCCCCACAACAACTATTGCAGTCTTCATAAACGTCGATGCTACGAGAAACTGCTGAGTGGAAAACTCGCGGTATTAGTGACTCTATATGGAAAAGAGAGGTGTGAATGCGAAGCCACCGACAACGCGGTATCGAGTGGAACGACCACTGGGACCAGTCAAAGAATGATGGGTCTCCTTAGTCAACGTCAATCGGCACAGGTCAAAGTCAACCTGACATCGTACGCAGTCCGAGATGGTGTAGCCTCAGCAGTGATCGCGACCTTAGTCTTCAACCTCAGTGACACAGTTGAAAGAGCCATGCCACCTACCCACCGAATTCACGGGCAGTTGAAAGACCTTAGTCTTCAACCTCAGTCCCCACGATCATGTCCTGTGGTGGGTGCTGTTCTTGACCTGTTTGCGATCCATATCTTGGTTTTAATTTCTTTCAAGTTTCCATCATTCGTATAAATTCTTTGAAGAAACATTAATCTTAATCGAACATTTTATGCTGATATATATACATTTTATCCATCCAAAGTTTAGTGTATC